ACAACAGCGTGTTTGAGTTAAGCGCTTCATTTATGATCCAAGTTCGCGCGATGGTGGATAATAACTAACGCACTTTGAGATAATGTAACCCTCGAGGGCAACTAAGGGCTCTGTTTTGCATCCGCTTATGCTACCGCGTTCCACGCTCGCTTATGCTACGGCGTACAACGATATACGTCATATACTTTGTGTTAGCGCCAAAAAAAGTTTTTATCGTTAACGGATCAAATAAAGGATGGCGAAGCTTCTCCGGAATGGAGAAATGAAATATACAAGCTTCATTCTTTACGTTACGGCGTGAAAGAGAGGATTGCATATTTTATTGGTCGGTTACGAGGAAACGGCCAACTTTACCTACCGTTTCCTTCACGTGGCGACGATATTACTTTGGGCTCGATCAAAGGGAGAGAAATAAAGTCGCACCCTTGTAAAGGCGCTTTACTTCTTTTTATATACATATAGGCATAATATATGGGAAGTAACGCTAACAGTGTGATAACGCCTTGCATGAAATTTTGCGAGATCTATAATTTGTGTGTGTAAGTGACTTTTGTGAATTCTTAAATATTCTTGGAAATCAACCGACCTGAAGAATGCGTCGACAAAGTACGTTCTTTATTGAAGTAACTCGGAATAACGTCGCATTTCTGGGTCAATCAACAAATTTCCTCCGAAAGCAGCCGAATAGAATCAAACGAAATCTGCGATAAGAGCGACAAGAGACACATTTTTCAGGAAATCCTTTCCGCATGCTATCCTAAAAAGGACATTCGCGTTTACATCTACTTCAAAGAGCAGCTGCCTCTTTGATAAAATTGCAAGAGCCTCCGTCAAGCTTTGTTAACGTCGACTTAGCGGGTGTCGGGTTTACATAATCCGGAGACAAAAGAAAATAAGCTCGCGAAGTAGTTGTTGTGTGTCCTTGCCAAAGCACGATAGCGTCGAAACGCTTTTATTTATTCCACAATCGTGCGTGCCGACCCTCTTCGGAAAGAAAGAGCTTGCGCAAGTCCCGGGCAGTAATGAGGTTTCAACTAGCAGCGAGCTAACTGGAAGTCGTTTCTTCGAATCACGATGCTGCGAGCTTTCACGCGCGTTTGCCAGGCAGAAATTGGTTACGAGCAATGACTGGCAATCGGAAAAACGAGCGTTCGCAATCAAGGCCGCGTAAATTTCAGTTCCTGTACCGTTTTCCCGCGCTTAATGAAGGACGATTATAAGCAAAGAGAAGTGAGTGAACTTGTTATTCGTTGCTCGCGCGACTTCTTATACGCCGTGTAACTATTTCCGTAATACATTCTTGAATCAAAAAATTTTCAGATATTGCCAATGATATATTGCTAGAGTAACTCAACGTCAATACTTATTTTATTTACTGACAGTCAAGACAGCATTTACTCCTAATTACAAGAAATTAAATTGCAGTTTAAAGTAAGCATTCTATCGATGCAGTTAAATAATTTTGTTTACTTTGACTTAAGTGAAGTTATTTTTTGTAAAATATCATAAAACTTAATTAAGCTCCGAAGCTTTTAACGTTAAATAAGATATAATGGCGCACTTGAACGTTTAATAAAATGAATATGAAGATTTGTAATGAAAGATATTTCATATGCATGTACGTAGCTACGTCAAAAGCGAGAGCAATAATGCTCGACGCAGAAAGAACGATAAAACGAGATAAGAGATACGCAGAATTCTCTTGTCAGAAATATTATTTTGGTTTGCGGAGCGTGAAGAAGAAAACTTCGCATCGGCAAACGTTTTTGATTTGGCGTAACGTTTCTGCTTCGCGGATGAGAAATCGTAAATCTAGACGCGGTAAAATACCATGTTCTCTCTACCTTGTTTAGAGATAAATTTCATGCGAATGGAGAACGGACGAGGGTCGTCGCAAAGACGAGAAGGTAGCCCAGGCATTCGATTTCAATTCGCGAGAGGAGTCTTGCATGACTTGAATGAAATCTGCCGGAGATCAGACGCTCTAAAGGAAATACTTGAAAGACTCGGACGGTTTGAAAGACTTAGCTTTAACTTCCGCGATGAGCAAGAAATATTCTCGTCGTCGGTCCAGAATGCAGAGAGGGAACCCGACGGCAATATGAGGCAACTCGCGAGAGCGACTTTGATCGAGACAATCGGACAAATTCCTTTGCGTAATGCGCTGTCTTTGTCTTGGAAGTTACGAATAGTAGAGGGAATGAATGGGATTTATAGAAACTGTGTGACGAGAACGCGGGATAACGGACTGCTATTACTTTGAACGCATTTTAAGGAAGCTTTTGTGTCGCAGCTTCTTTTGGCGAGTTTATTTGCGCGGTTGCGGATCATAATAACCGCGTTATCTCTCGATCAATTTCATGTAAACTATATGTTTAAGTGGATTTTTAACATGTACAAGGTCTTTTTTTCTATATATTTTTATTAAGAATTCAAAATATTTACAGTTGAATATCTGCAAATGAAAATGAAATATTAATTCCAATATGTTTAGAAATTAAATTACTTAAAGAAAGATAAAAGAAAATTAATCACGAAATTAACGAGTACCATTGTACATCAGGTTATATCGCGATCTTTACTTTCTAGTAGTATAAGTAAATGACTACATATACGTTATGCGTGATTATAAACGGTTCTTCTTGATTAAAATCTATCGTGACTAAAATCGATGGTGGCACACTTCCGACGCCTTCCTTCTCGCTTCTTCCGTCGTAGCGAAACAGTTTTCAATGCGCCAGGTGCTGTTGATAAATGGCACGGAAACGTCCGTGATGCAGTCTCAACTATGAGATGTCAAACTCCATTGGCAACGTAACGACTCAGTCGTTGTAACGACGGAAATTGACGACGCGCCGACGAGAGATACAGAAGAAGAAGAAGAGAGAGAGAGAGAGAGAGAGAGAGAGAGAGAGAGAGAGAGAGAGAGAGAGAGAGAGAGAGAGAGAGAGAGAGAGAGAGAGAGAGAGAGAGAGAGAGAAAGAGAGAGAGAGAAAGAGAGGAAGAGGAAGATGACGAGATAACGCGTTTCGAAAACGCGTTGCGAAACTCAAACTGCGGTATCGGAAGCAGCTGCGATTGACATCGACGGTTAGGTCAATTTTCTAGAACACGTAATGTTTAATAAATCTGTGCACATGTATTAGCTATCAATTGGAGATGGATTTTTCTAACAAAGGCTCGATTCTTACAAGACATATCATTACTCTCTAATTTAGTGTGAAAGAAAGATTAATAATTAAAAAGAATATTATCATATCAATTTGCAATGTTATTGTAAAAAGTTTGCGCGGCCTCCTCACCTGGGATATGAAAATTAAGATTTATTCTTCATTCCGACGAATCTACCGCGCCGGGATCATAACTCATGGACGCAATATGGACCGCGAGAGCTTTACGAGAGTCGGCTTGCTCTTTGAGGTCTTAACTTGCAAGCCGAAATTCGCGCGTCATTAAATCTTAACACGCGGGACTGTAAATTGCGGACGCTGGCTAGGCATTGCGAGAAGCAAGCGAGGTCTCTCTATATTCCGCTCGATGGACCTTTAACGACAACGGCCTTCGCACTTAAACCCAACACGCTTGTGATCCCCGCCCCGCATTCACACGCGCAACCACCACGTATCTGCAGTCACTCGCTTCCTCAAAATTAACCTGATACCTGCTGCATTATGATCTATAGTTACGGCTGAATTAACAGGCAATCATTATAACCAGTTCGGAATAAATTTTCTCACTGCATGCACGGATGACAATTTCGCGTGGCTGAAGGAAATCACTGTATTGTCTATAATCCAACTTATGTTAACGATGTTGTGATTTCGACAACTACTAGCGGACTCGTGCAATGTCTCGTAATTCTTATGATATCATCAAATAAAAAATGTGTAAGATTAGTTTTATTGATAAAATATAATGCGATTTAAAAATAAATTCTTGCACTGCAAGGTAAAATGATAATTGCAGAGAGAATATAAGTCATATAAGATAAATATTTTCTTATTCACGTTTCATGTACTGTCATAATTTGCCTTTTTTCTTTTCATATTATATTATTATATTTAATTATTTATTACTTATAATGACTAAAATATAACTCGTGTTAAAAATATCATACTTTCCTTGCCTTTCTATTAAAGTTAAGAACTTTAATCCGGCTGGGAAACATCATTCTACAATATCGCAATAACTTTATGCAAGTTCTACTATCTGTGTATGTACAGCAAAGTGAATTCGTTTCGAGTTTCGGAGGGAACTTCGGGATCGCCCGTGCATTCGCACGAAACTCTCGGTGGCGTTCACCTCGACCCCACCTGACCCCTCCGGTAACCGCGTATTTATTTTCGCGCTTAGCACACGCCACCCTTTTACCGTCCAGGCTCGCACTCAGCTGACAGACGCGGATGGTAATTGCAAGGCGACTGCGGACTATAAACGTCGTCCTTCGTGTCCATGTGCGCTCGCGGATTAACGAAATAGGACTCCGAAATGGCGCAAACTACTGCCACGTGAGATTAAGAACCCCATTTGTGGTCAGAGATGAAACCGAGCTTGAGAGTACATTTTATGAAAGCCGTATTATTTTTCGAAACATGTATAATCATTCCGAATTTCAGTAATCAGTAAATTAAAAAATATAATGTCGTTTAATGAGTGAAATCACGAATCAAGAAGAACCTGGCCGAAGCTAATAAAAGAAATCTAGAAATAAAATTTCTGAATTTTAATCCGACTGGGAAACATTATTCGCAATAACTTTATGCAGGTTTTACTATCTGTGTATGTGCAGCAAAGTGAATTTGAAAATAGCACTTTATATTCTTGCTTCATATAATTTTGACACGTATAAGATTTGTAATTTGCTTGAAATATGCATTTTTGTCGTAATATTAAATTAAATTAATTTTCTTTAGACTTTCCTCTGTTTAAATCATTTTTTCCATCTATCATGTGTCATTTGCTTTGCAGAATTTGTAAATAGACTTGTATTCTTGTTACAGTGACCAAGGATATCAAAGTGGATTTTGATATGCCGAAGGAAGCCGAGGTTGGTTCCACGATCGAGTTGAAGTGCAAATGGAAAATAATGCATAGAAGCAAGCTTTATTCAGTTAAATGGTACAAGGACGATCATGAGTTTTTCCAATATCTGCCAGACGGTAAACAGAAGATGCAGACATTTTCCAGGCCCGGAGTCAACGTCGAGGTATGTTCCTTATGTTTGTTTGGTAGAAATTCTTAAAATTGTTCAATCGCGGTAATCAACACTTGATCTAATCTGCATCTGTGTAGTTATGTAAACTATTTTTTTTTTTACATTTCTACAGCGTAAGCTAAGATTTTGTAGCAATTTTCAAACAATTTTCAAAAAATAGATGTCCACTGCCTTTCTCTCGGCGTATAAATCTTTGCGCCAGTAGCGATCATAATTCAAATAACAATGCAATCACAATTGTCTCAGTGCCATCACAATCTTATTTGTATTAAAAGATATTTCTTTTTTTAATAATGCATAACAAAACAATATACAATATAATAATAATAAATTAAGAGAATTAGAATGTACGGTACATTGAAGGCATTAATAGCAGCCGAAGAAGATTATCGTGGCTCGGTTCTTTCCGATTATCGGAGCACTCTGCAGAATTTGTTTGGTACTATCGAAAGCAGAACAAGTGATTCTTCTCGTGAATCTGGCGAAGCGTCCATCCCTATTCATGCGTTTTGAGGTCGGTGAAATTCTCGTTCGTCGTTTCGCGATGCAAGCGAAATTCCTTAAAACGCCATTCGGAAACTCAGCACCGTCGGGTTCTTTCGCCGACTGTACGTAAGATTCGATGCAATCAATCTTCCCCGTTCGCCATCTCCGCCCCCTTCCTTCTCTACGCTTCCAGCGGCGAGACACGAAAAGCTCGAGAGCACGCGAGTCCTCGATAAGATGAACGAAGTAGGACCAGCAGCGGAGCAGCGGCGACGTGTGAGGATTCGTACACAGGTTTCCGCGATTTTGATCGGCGGCGCGACCATGAGCAGACGGCACCATCGCGTACCGATGTAATTCATCTTCCTCGTGCTGCTGGCTGGCCGGCAAAACGTTTGGGGTAGTGCCTGCAGACCGCGTTCTTGCGTTGGTACAAACGAGGCGCGAGTTCATCTCGCCATTGCCGCCGCCGCCGCCGCCACCACCGCTGTGATGCTACATCATCTTCTTCGCAGCTTCGTGCAAGCTGTCAGCCGCCGCGAGCTATCGCCTCCGAATAAAAGAAAAGCGAGAGATACGGTGAATAGTCTTTCGCACGTGCTACATTGATGACACCGCGTAATCCAGTCGGATTGGTATCGGATCGATAAAAAAGATTGCATTGACACGCGGAAAAAGAATCAACGTCATCTTGTGACTTGAGATTTGTATAATTAGAGCTGAAAAACTAGCTCGGTATATGCAGAATATGAAATCTGAAAAATCGATACAAATCATCAAATATTATGTCTCTAAAATATATTCTTTCGGTGATTTCGTTTATTCCATATAATATTTTTCTTTCTTCCGTTTTTAATTTGCAAAATGTCGTTAGCTACTTTTATTATAAATTATCCGCGCAACAGATTTCTTATATTATCTTATATTATAATTATGCTAAACCATTATTTGTGTGCGTGCATGCGTATGTGTATGCATTGAACCATATTAAATAGGATTCGCGTTGATATAAATGGGGCGCGAATTCATCATTTTCCTGTAGTAAGCTGTCAGCCGCGCGACGAGGTATCTTTATCCGGAGTTCATTAAAGGGAGGTGAGACTGCAGGTCGCTGAATGGTCTTTCATATATATCACGTTGATAGTATCGCATTAGATGTGGTCAGGTTGCACGGATCACAGTAGCGAACGGATAAAAATAAAAAAAAGATTATATGATAAATTTGCGACATTAAATCGAAAGGCGCGTAAAAATAAATAAAATATACGAGCGCTTTTCTTTATTTTTATTTTAATATCAATTTCACGTCTTACTTTGCTTGTTCATAAGGTGACCATTTTCACTTGCGTTCCATCTATCTGATTATAAAATAACTTGTCATTTTTATCTAAATTTTGCGTTGTTTGATAAAACTTTAATAATTCGTTGTATATATAAAAATCTTTATGATTCCTAAGAGTTTTGCAGATATTTTACAATAAAATCAAGACAAAAATAGTATATTTAATTGCAACGTCTAAAGATATAATTATATCTGCTGTTACGTCCTTACTTAAGGATCGTAATTGGTGTGACACACAGGTGAGAATTTAAAGAACTGACCCTGTGAATCGAACGGTTTGTTTTCTGGAAAACGCGACTATGAAAGTCACTTTACTCCGCTGTACAGATGCCGTTCGGTGGTTCGCTTTTAGGTCTGAGATAGCGATCTCAATTACTTGGGACGGAACCCGTGCAATCTTTAAGGTTCAGAGATTTCCTGCTGTTTTGACTATAATAAGCAAAAAATTTCAAGTGTCAGATATGGTGAGATTGTTTTCTGCTTCGAACGTGATAACGAAAATCAAGCGTCGGAGATAATGAAAACTGTTTCCTGTTTCCTTCCGTTTTTGAATTTATCTAGACACCTCAAACGAGCGTTGCTATCACCGGAGTGTTCAATGAGATATTACTCCCTAGTCTGAAATATCCATCTGACATTTGGTTTTTGTTTTCCTTTTTTCCCCTTTTTTTACATCTCTTTGGTGATATTTCGGAAAGAAAGAGCGTGGAGTACGTAGGACGTGCATTTTAGTAATAATTCTGAAAAACGCAGTTCCTAAAGAAGGTTCTTTATATATTTATAAGCTTTTCGATAACGTTCATTGGTTTAATTTATATCTCGCGAAGAGACTAAAAGGCGATCCATATTTTAGAGACGCCTCGAGAGCTGGATTAATCTGTAGAAATGCACGTGTAAAGTAAAATTCAATCACCGGTATATAATTACGGTAGCTTCTATAACGTTAAGCGCACGATCCTTTCACCTGTCGTTAACATCCTTGACAGAATCGATTCCGAGCGCAACGCATTCACCGCATCCTTCTGCCGATATCAACGAGACAGGAGCTGAATCTGAGGATACGTCATTTTCTCTAGAATCCTCGATATACTGATGGATTCGCCTGTCGGCATTCTCCGTAGGAAACGAGATCGCGCTAGAGCAAGGGAGAGCGTGAAAAGACGTTGAATAGCGTATCGACACGACGGATAGCGTAGATGTCTCCTATATAAATGCAGAATTATATTTTATTCCGGTAAAGTATATTTTTGATTTATTTATCCGTTTTAGTAAAGTGACACGCGTGCGCTACGTAATGAATCATGTTTGATGTATTACATTTGTACATCTTTCTTCGCCGCGCGCGTTTTCAGAATATTATATTTATAAAGGTTTAGAAGAGGAATTTTTTACGACAGTTCAAACGGTAGATACATACAGTATAAAGTATGTTTAAAAAATAATGGAATTAATTTTTGCTTAATCTTTTAGTGTAAAAGTTATCTACATCGCAATTAGTAACGTTTCGAAGATATATTTTTAAAGCTTTATTGTTAAAGCTTTAACAAATTACGTAAGTAAATTGTTTATGTGAAAAATTAAAAAAAAAATTATCTTTTAATAATTATTTAATAAAATAATGATAATTGAGGGAAATTTCTCAATTATCTCACTGATCCATAATAAGTGCTGTATTAATATAACATAACAGTGTAATATTATTTGTAAATTTTAACAAAATAATTCTTGATGTCGAACGCGATGTCAGTAAAAACACGAGCAAATTCAGAAGCTATTTCATATTACGGTATGTTATCTTTTTCTGGGATTTCCACTGGTCTTCGATTCTCTCTCGCTTCGGTATTTCCAGTCCCTTCTCCATTGAGGATCGAATGTTTCGAAGAATGCAATCCACCAGATTGTACTCCAATATTCTACAAATGACGTTCCTCGATTCAGCATCCTCTCCCTTCCATAAGTCGAAACATCACGTAGGGTACTATTTTCGAGGTATAACACACATACATACAAGATCAGTTTTCGCGAATAAATAAATCGAATACCCTAAAATTCTACGAACGGTTTTTAAACTAAAATACAACCAAATTGAGTTTAATTTAAAATCGAATTGGTAAAAACTTCATAAGTTCAGCTCCAGAAATCTTGCCAACTCGCTATCTCGTAAATTATTTTTAGTTAGTCGATTGAATCATAAAAAAAACATACACTCACAATTTATTTTTATAGTATAAATTTAAAAAAAAATATTTAAAAAATTGATGTACATATCAAATAAGGTTTTACATCTCATTAAAATTTACAGTGCTTCAAACATTTAATTTACGCCACTTTCGAAATAACCGAGTCAATTAAATGGAATGTACAGCTATCTGATAATTATTTTTAAAAGTTGAGTTACGACTCTGATAATTGTCAACTCAACATCTCCATTTAATGGGGCAAATCGGAACAAAGTATGAGCATTCTGGTATAACAGCGGCTAAGGCAAACAGAACTATTAAAATGGAGATTCCTTTGTGCACATCGCGAAGGGGAGAAGTTCCGCAAGATTTTCGGCACGTCGTACACTCGGCGCAGGCCAAAAACAAGGTCAGTAGCAACGATAGTTTGACGATAGTTTGAGGATAGTTTCGAGCGAGATCACCCTCGAAACTTTCGAGCGATTCGCGAGCTGGATAATACTCTTTTCTCGCGTTTTTTTTCCTCTTCTCTCTTTTTTTTCTCCGTCATTTTTTAAACTTTTCTCCGCTGGGAGAACGTGAGTTTTGCCCGCATGCGCGCGCGATTATTTGCGCAGAAATTTAAATGATTTAGCTCTCACTCCGGGGGAACATGCGAATTTTTGATGTTCCGGCAAAACTTTGCCTTGCGAGATATATCTTTTTATGTGCGAGAATAGTCGTGGATAATGGTGGCATAAAAATGACGTTTGTCACTCGATTCGTTTCGCGTTTAATTCTGTACGAGTTTTCGGAAATGTTTAAGGAATTATTCTACTCGAAAACTTTGGAAGAATCGATGTTTTTTGCATTTTTTAAATATTGTCTCAAAGACGAGCTTTTAATATAAAGAACTTTTCTAAAATTCCCAAAGATGATAAAGCTACAAACATTTAGGCTGCGATGCAGAGGATAATATATTAATTACCAAGTAATGACTCATA